GCTCTCAAGTGGAGATACTAATGGCACCTGCTGCGTGTGCGTTTATGGATAAGATTGCGCGTTGCATGCCTGGCAGAGTTCTGAGTGCAGCCTTGGGGGTGGCTGTTAGTAATGATGAGAGAGGACACTAAAGATGAGTCACCTGTGGGAACTGAAAGGTGGACAAGCAGAGAGTGAGAGGGCCTGGAAAGTGCCCTCCCTGCCTTCACCGGATGAGACACGTCAGGTGGTATGGTCCCCAGTTCAGAGGTCACTGCAGGTGAAAAATGATAAAAGCCAAACGGCAGCCTAAACGTGTGCTGTCTGGAAGATAGAAGAGGTGCTCTGGAGCGGTGGTCTGTGCCACGGTAGCCTCACGTAACTCATCAGAAAGTCAACAGAGTTTCAAGCTTATCAACCAGAAAGTGGCTAATTAGCATATTCCTTAGGAATACATCAATAAGTATCATGGAAATACCAAGGTAACTAACAATTCCTCCTCTAGGGAATGAGACAAGATGGGGAGAAAAGGGACCAAAGGTATAAAGCCCTTTTGAAGCATTTGATAAACATTGTATACATTTTGATAAAAATTTGAATCATCTTTAGAAAGGTAGACTGCTTAGCAGATGAAATAATAGAGATGATCTTAAAACCCTTAGGCTTATGATTATCTCCGTAATAGTACCATTGGTGTATATTTTTATCTCTGCATACAGAATATCAATAAAAACCTAACAGAAGCCAAATTGCGCGCTCTCATTCCTCAGGGTTTTTCTGAATTTGGTAATCGTTTAGTCAGCGGCCCCCTGGGATCTGGGACCCTCGGGAGCCAGTGCTAGCCGCGGGAGAGCCTGGCCAGTGTCGCACTTGTTGGGACCTTGTGCCTCGGCCAGTGTGGTGCTCTCACTTGTGTTTCTCTGCCCTGCTTTCTGTCTCCGTCCCTTGTCCTTCCTTCACACGGCCTGTGCTGCATTTCAGCTTCTGGGTGCAGCGGCTCACACCCTCCCACTGGCACGTGGTGGATTCTTTCCTTCTGGTCGCTGCGTGTTTCAGCGCTGTCTGCTCCTCGCTCACTTCAGACGTTCTGTGAGGCCAGCAGAGCAGCACTTGGAATGCTCTTCTATGCACTTAGTGTGCGCAGCTGCTGCTGCTAGCTGCCTAATTATTTTCTTGTTTTCTGACTCAACAGAGGAAGCAAAACTGATTGCTCCCGTTCCTGTTTTCCCTAGAGCTGCCAGCAGAGCAGTGCCCTGTGCCCCGCAGCTGGCCTAGAGCTTAATGGCGTGGGAGCGCATGGTGGAGAACCCGGATGCAGGGGCTGCTCCTGGGCTGGCGCTCTGGGTGGGGTCGTGGCATCAGGAGCCCTGTGGCTGGTGTGCTGCTGTTGGGAGGCTTCGCTCTGTGGGCAAAGGAGCTCTTCCACACTGAACCTCATGCCCACATTCCTGGACAACTAAGACTCCCTTGGATTTTTCCAAATGAGATGTAAAGCTATATATGAGAAAAAAGCTCTATTTAAAGTCTAAAGCAGTGCTTCTGGTGCCAGTGTGCAGACTGCATGTAAATTAGTGAAATTTTAGAAAAGACAGCTCATTAGTTTAGAAGATGTCGGCACCATCATTTAGGATCTCATGCTAACATATGGTGCCCTATTTGCCTTCTCATTAATCAAAAGAACAGAAGCAATTTGCTAATTAGCCTGATAAAAATATTCATATGGATGACCGGTTTTCTGACTAAGGCTTATTACAGCTGGTTAGACTGCCCATGCTGCAAAGGAGTGGAGGGTGACATTCCAACAAGTAGAGAATCAGGTGGGGAGCTTCCAGGTGCAGGAGAAGATGCGTCAGAAATCTGTTACCTGAGTCGCACAGGGCTTGGTCATAGAAAGCAAAGACCCATCTTCCTGGGAACAGGGCAGTGGAGAGAACCAGAGGAGACATGGGAAAGTGGAAGAGCAAAACCCCTGGACCCGTAGTATCCATCAGCATGGTACAGCTGCAAAGTTTGGCACCTCGTGTGCAGGCCGGGCCTACACCCTGAGCCATGGTGGTGGCTGGACCACTTTCCATGTGCCTCCACCTTTGACCAGAGCTGTAGCCACACAGCCTTCCCTCGGGAAGCCACCCTGTGTCCCAGCAAGATGAGTTCTTCTCTCAGTGCTCCTCTTGTTTTCCTTTTAGTATTATTAGTCAAATCATCCCTGTATGATTTGATTTCTAACTGCTTCTCCCACTAGTCTCCCCCTCCACAAGGTCCGTGTCCTCTGTCATCAGCCACAGGCAGTGCCAACATGTGGCACATGGTCTACATGTGATGAGAGGCAGTGGTGTACATGGTGACTTGGGCCATTGGCAGAAATAGCAGCAGTGGGACTTACAGCTGCTTGCAACGTTGGATGCAGAAAAGCAGAAAGTACAGATTCTGTGGCTAAGGAGAGTGAGGACCGACGCAGGAGAGCAGCCACCCTCATGCTAGGCGTGTGTGCTTTGGCACAGCAAGCCCCAAGGAGCAGGACTTCCTTGTGCTGTAGATGCTGCCTGTACCACCCTCAGGGCATTGCTCTGCCAGCTGCGCGGGGCCCTTCGGGGACACCTCGGTCACCTGCTGTGTTGGCAGGTCCCACACAGAAGCCACAGCACATAGTGCAGTTATCAGCTGTTTGAAGCACTTCACACCTAGATTTTCTTATTCGTCAGGAATCCTGTGTAGCAAGACTTCACCGTGTGGGTTATATTTGCCTTTCCTATGTGTGAATCATAATTCTCCTGTGAGATCATTGTTGCTAGAAGCCAGGGGCTGTCTCTAATTACGTTGGTATTCTCTGATAGAAACACTGTTGGCCAAATTCTTTATGATAATTCAATAATGACTGCTGTTTTGTTTTGTTTTTTTAATTTCAGCATGTCTTCAAATTGGAACAAGAGGAATATATGAAGGAACAGATTCCATGGACACTCATAGACTTTTATGATAATCAGCCTTGTATTAATCTTATAGAGTCTAAACTAGGCATTCTGGATTTGCTGGATGAGGAATGTAAGGTATGATTTTTTGGGCTGCTTAGTGGATCAGAATAGAAGTATTAAGGTCAGAGGTGAGTAGAGCATCCCACAGTCACTAATACACCATGAGAGGCCATTGTGACAACAGCTGGGGGCCTCTGATGTTCATTCTGAGGGGACCCTTGACTTCAGAGGTTCTCATCAGTGAAGCTGGGAGAATATCCCATTTCATATATATATTTTTTTAATTGAGAAAGAAATATTAATGAGACAGTTTCAAAACAGGTTAGTAGGACAATTACAATGATTAATACATTGCATATTGCTGTCTTCGTAGTAGTTATTCATAGTACAGGATGCAGACATGATATCCTGTCTAAACACTACTAGTACAAATCTTGCTTCTTATTGAACTAAGAGAAAGTAGCTGTATATCTATCCTATTTTGTATATACAGATATCTATGTGTGTGTGTATATATATATATATATATATATGTATATGTATTCACTACAAAATGGTCCCTCATTTATATCCTTGTCCCATTTCTTTGTAGCTAATTATAAATTAGGTGAGAAACTGACAGTAAGTTGCTACCAATTTTTACCACTTTTGTTGTCAATTTGCTTATGTTTAGTACTTTTTGTTCAGTGATACAGTATATTTGAAGAAGTATAAGAAAGCCAGGTGTGGTAGCATGCATTTGTAATCCTAGCCACTTGAAAGACTGAGACAAGAGCCTCTCAAACTCAGGGCCAGCCTTGGTTCTTCCTGAGTTTAGTCCCAGTACTGCACAAAGAGAAAGCAATGCAAGAAGTCGTTGTAAATGACTGTAGCAGTTCACTTCGCCAGCTGTTCTTTGTGACTGCTGTCTGACGGGGATGCAATTTTAGTTTTCATTTTCAAGATGCAGTATGTTGGAGGAAATGTGGAATCCACAGCTTTTTACTGAGTGCTTTTAGGCAAATAACCCATGCACTGGCTTAATCTTTCTTTAGTTTATATGCAGCAAATTGCAGCTTCTGACAGGTAGATCCTTCTAAGCATCCGGACATCGCCAGCATTGAGAACGCATGAATGAAATGGGGCTCACACACTTGAGGCTTTTAAAAACACTAAGCAGAGTAAAAGTGGGACCCCATTATTTATCAGATGGGCAATTTCAGACCTGATACCTTTCATTTGATAATAATAAATATTGTTCTTAAAATCTTGATTACAGGTAAGACGTTATGTAACATAAATAAGAGAAAATTTTGACATTTGTCAGAACCATGAGTATCTATTTGTTTTACCCGAAAAAACAAATAGGAGCTGTGACGGCTTAACCTGTCAGTGTACTTGCTAAGTGCACAGAATATATATGTAGAAGAAGAAAACTGTGGCAGTCATAATAACAAAACGTCAGTGAAAACTTAGTGGCCATAAGTAAGGGGATGCTATTGTGAGGAAGACAAATTGCAAGAACTGCACAGACTGAGTGCAGCGCGCGCGTAGAAAGACACAAGGAGCTCGGGGGCGTGGCGAGGCAGGGAGCT